AGCCTAAGAGTCACCACCATTTGACTCTTTTAAAAAATAATATCTTTCCACACACTTAGCCCTTGCGGCCTAACTTTAGTATCACTATCACACACCGCACAGATACATGACCAAATATACTTTCCTTTAGGAACCCTTTGTCATGAAATCTTAACACAACGTTGAAGCATGCCTTGTCATATCAACATCACTCATCAATCATAATTGTCATTGCATCACGAAGTATGAAGTGCTTAGCCTCCGTACCTAAGTTACCCAAATGCTTTCATCATTGAGTCAACCATTGAGATAGCCTAGGATGGGTTAATCCTTGCACCTTGAGAGATAGTATCAAATGACATTTGACTAAGCTCATTCAACATGCACCTTCAAAAACTTCGCTTATTTCTTTTTCGCGTCTTTCTTTTTCGGGAGAAAGTCGGTACCCTCCACAAAAATGACGGAAAATTTTTGCTTTTTTGCATTTTCGAGTCGCACGATCACATTACAATGCACACACGAGTCATGTACACATTGAGTCATGTCGTTTCATATCACTTTGATTTGAGTCTAACACATATGTCAGAAACACTTTGAGTAGAGTCAACCTCGAGTCGATCACAGCGAGTCAAGTTTATGCCTTGAGTCGTGTCAAGTCAATGAGTCAAGCGACGTTAAACCTTAGGTCAACCCTAAGATAATTAAAGAGATTAGCAAAGTTCTATAGTCAAAAATAAATACAGGTGCAGCATAATGGGGAAGACCCTACTCCAGCGCCGGATGACAACATCTAGCGTCTAGCAGCAGGTTTTAGCGCCTGACGCTAGATCTCAGCGTCTGGAGGCAGAGCCAATTCTTGGTGCCAGAGATATTTCAGCAACGACAGAGCTTGAAGCCTCTCGGAATGGTTATTTCAACCTCATACAACAATTTCGGGTTCCTTGGTACGCCAGTTAGCCCCTATAAGCAAATTGACATGATTAGTAGTCGGCTCGATTACAATCGTAGTAAGTGATTGACCTGACAAAAAATCGTCTCACTTAGCTTAAGCTCCTAAAACACTAGCTCATTACAAGCACCTACGTATCGGTTTAAAAGCAAGCACTTAAACGACAATATTTCCAAATATGGATTGTCGCACATTCTTCTTAAACGACATTTTTTTCAAAAATCGGATTGTCATCCCCAACTGACAATATTTCGAAAAATGGATTGTCGTGCATCATCTTCAACGACAATTTTTCCAAGTTCGGATTGTCATCGCTGGCTAGTTTTCCGAGATTGGATTGTCATACATCCAGTTCCCAATGGAAAAAATTTCTCAAAGGATTGTCGTAGGTCTCTATTCATCATAAATTCGGCAAAGGTTCCTCAACGTGGATCGTCGTTCATTTCAGTAAGTGGAAAATTTTCCCGAAGTGGATTGTCGGTCGACTCTTTTTTGCAAATGTTCCAAGACGCGAATTGTCAATTGTGGCAATATTTTCCTAAAAGGATTGTCGCATAGCGTTGGCAAATTTCCAAAGTGGATTGCTTTCAGGAGTTATATTCCAAGATGTGGATTGTCGATCGTAGAAAAATTCTTATGACAGATTATTACGAAGCATTGGCAACTTTTCCAAAAAATTGGATTTTGGCAAATTTTCCGAGATACGGATTGTCGCTTCATCGTGGCAACATTTCCAAGGATGGATTGTTACAAAGCATTGACAACTTTCCCTAAATCGGATTGTCATACATCATACAAGGGTTGTGTTGGCAACTATTCCCAAAGAAAAGAGGATTGTCATCACAGCAAAAGCACAGTCATACTAGTTCATCAACAGCAAAATTCAAGCAGCATTAAGGATCAACAAGCAGTGGTCTTTTCAAAGACTTTCATGGCGGAAATAGGAGGCAGTTATAGGCGTAGAAGTCTTCAGGCGACATTCTCTAGCTTGCGGAAGATCGTCACAACAAATCGGTTACCTTCAGAGACGTGTGCTCGACGGTGCAAGATACGCGTTTCTTAACTCTTTTATCTGTTTAACTAACGCTGGTTTGCAGGTATCGGCGTTACAAGAGTGGTTTAGAATCGCAGAACGTTCTGAATCTTTCTCCGTCCCTATCGCTACTTTGACTTTTGTTTTCGAAACTTGTGTTTCTCCAAACTCAGTCAAAGTGGGGGCTTCTGTAAACACCCATTTGTGTCTCCCCAAAACCAAACCTAGTGATGAGTACCTTTCACGTAGAATCATAATCGAATGAAGCGAAAGTGTGGAAAGTTTAGTGTTGCGGATAGTTTTAATTTCTTTTCTGCTCTCTCTGTTTTTTAAAACATATTTTAAGAAAACAGACAATCCAGTTTGGTTGGTCCATGATATGGGTCCAATAGTAGTGTAGTTGGATGGGGCTTGACAAAAGCTTTTCGACGATATATTATAAGCCCAATTCCGATGAATATTGAGGAAGTTATGGCCAATTTACTGAACTGGGCCCGGTTTGAGCCTTTTATGCGGCCCAATGATCTAGGGGAGGGCCTAATATGGATTTATCATTCCTAATGCAATTAGGAATGGTTTTAGTCTTTTAGATTCTTCTAGAAGGTTCTTTTCATTCCTAATTCAATTAGCATTGATAAATTGACTTTTGTTGACTTTTCAGAGTTTTAATTAGAATCAAGGAACATATTTTGAGGAAAAATACAATTTTTTTCCTCCTGTACGGCAATTTTTATCTGATTTTAAGAAAACGCGTGAATTTCTGAATCAGCGCCAAACGCCACCTGTAGCGCCTGGCGCTAATGTTGGCGTCTGGCGCTAATAGCCAGCGTTGGCGCTAATCAGATTTTATTTGCGCCAGAACTCTGTTTTGATATTTTATCTTTTTGGCTGATTTTCTCTATAAATAACGTATTAAAAACTCCGTTTTCGATAATCAATATTCATCCACATTCATCAACAATCATCAGTTTTCATCCACATTCATCAACAATCATCAATTCTTATTCTTTATAATTTTAACTGTTTCTCTCTATTTTCACCAACTCTCATCAAGAATTTCTTGATTACTTTCTCTCTCTTTTCTAAACTACCCTTTTACAAACAAAATTAGATACACCTAGCCATATTCGAAGTTGCCTTCGCCCTAGACGTGAAAGGTTTTAATTTCAGAGGGTTTGGTCCCAAATCTCTCTTTCAATTATTTAATTTAATTGTTTAATTTTATATTTTCCTTGAAGTTACTAACGCGTGTATTTTGTTATTAGAAAGAGGTACGAGGCATCAAAGTAAGTATTTTAATGGTTTTTATTGATATTATGATGTTATTATGATATTCCTAGTATCATGTTTAGGGTAAGGAATAAGTTTCTTAAATTAAATATGATTGTTATGATGATTCCTATATTCTTCCTAATATTTATGATTGTTAGTATCATGTTAGGGTTAAAACTTTGATTTTTATTGTTTAGTGACATGCTAGGGTTTGTTATTAATTTTGTTAGTATCATGCCTAGGATCTTGCTATTATTATGCTTTAACATGATCATGATTATTTTTATAATTGTTATAAAACTTATAATAATTGTTATTATTATTATTATGATGATTTGCTTGATTATAATGTTGCTTTACATTTATTGTTATTGCTTGATCACGCCTTTTATGCATGTTTAAAGGGAATTTTGTACTTGTAATCACGCTTAATAAGATAATTAATAATCTTGTTTAGGGTTAATATGATTATAATTCAAGTGATCGCCAATAATAGTTTTATTTGTGCATTAATATTCAACCAACATAGATAAACAGGTTTAGGGGTTAATCCTATTGATTGCTTGTTAGTCAGAAGGCGCACATGAATACGATCAGAATAAAGTAGAGGCCTATTATTAGGGCAGGTTCAATCTCTTTTAGGTTGGATTTGTACCTTCATCCCCGAACCCTATTTGGTTCAAGACCTATTGGAGTTGACGATCTCTTGGATCATTAAGGGTGTAACCTTCACCTCGTAAACGGTTTATAAGTTCCTAAAACTTGTTGGCGACTTTTTTGCTCTATCTTCTTTCCCTTATGACGCCACCGTACTTTAGTGTATGATCACAGTGGGGTTCAAGCTAGGGGATTAACGCTTGAAATATTCCCCACATGTCCCTACAGGAATTCTCCAAAAGTGCTGAAAAATTAAGACCAATTGGGCTTTGTAATGTAACTTATAAAATTATTTTCAAATGCATCACTAACCGGTTAAGAAGAGTTATTAACGTTCTAGTTAGCCAATTTCAAAATGCTTTCATTCCGGGTCGTGCAATCTCTGACAATACTTTTAGCCCATGAATTATTGGAAAACATAAGGAAAACAAAGAAAGAAAGGTGTGAGAAGCAAATTGGCAATGAAAGAAGATATGAGCAAGGCATATGATAGGTTGTCGTACACCTGTCAAAAATAAATTCTTAACAAAACCAACTAACAATGTAGTAGGGTAAGTAGGGTCGAATCCACAAAGAGATGGCTATTTAATCTAACCTTTAAGAATTTGGTGAAACTAAACTATGTCACGAAATTGGAATAAAAAATATAGTCTAAATTAAAAGAGGGATAAAATAATTAATTAAAAAACCTAGGGTTATGGTTCACCATGTTTATAGTTCTAAATCTATCAAATATCAATAACAATTCAATCAATCAATTATCTAGAGCCATTGCTAAGCCTACGGTCGGGTCTTAACGCTCTTAATTCAACATATGCAGTACGGTCGCTAACATAATCAAAATTGCTAATTGTAGGGAAGCCTCTAAAAGTAAGATTTTCGATTCAAACTCTTATTAACAATAATTAATCAAACAATTGATCAGGTTGCAAGATTAACAATAAAACACTATCAATTAGAGAAATCAGTAATCAAAATATCAATAATATCAAAGAAGATTCATAGTCTAAACATGGATTCCCAAACCCTAGCTAGAAATAAACTACTCAAGCATGAAATAAATAAATAAAACTAGATCTAAGAAATAAAACATAATTAAAAGCAAGAATATAGAAATAAAATACCTCAATGAATTAAAATAGTAAACCCAAGAATCATCCATGGAAGAATCCATGGAGATGCCATGAAAAACTAGGGTTCGAGAGAAAACTACAACGAACGTAAAATAAAAAGTATAAAAAGGCATAAGGGAAAAAAATAATCCCTTGAGTATTTATATTATCCTAAAACTAATCTAAAGATAAATAAATAAATATAAAATCAGAAAAATAGCAATTACAATAGTCGTGATATGATTGGTCGATTGAAAGAGTTATAATCGATGTAGGATTTCTCATCGCTTGCGCGCACACCCCACCCATCGGGCGATGGGTGGCCGATGGTCGGAACGACACTCGACCATCGGGCGATGGAAAACCATCGCCCCAACCAGCAGCTCACGCTCGAGCGTACATCACGTCCATCGCCCGATGACTGGGCGATGGGTTGGCAGCTTCGTAGGCTTGACTTCAAAGGGCTGTATCTCGCGTTCTAGGAACTGTATAGGGTCTTGCGACCTTTCAATGGAAATCTCTTCAAGTCTAGTTTTCAACGCAATTTGAATCACCTCAATCCGATCTGTAGAACTCAAGTTATGATCAAAAGAGTGAATAAGAGCCAGTTTTACCACTTTGTAAAACATTGTTTAACTTCGTTTCTAACTCAAATTCAATTCCGAAAAGTGCATAACGATCATTGTGGATGCTATTTTCATTTCTCATGCATAAAATCCTCATAGTCAACATCCACGAACATGAGATCTTCGATTAATAAGCTCAATTCATCAACTTTTCATCCTTTCATTGACCGATTCTTCCAAAACCACTTCGAAAGCGTCCAAATAGTTATAGAAACTACCTGAAACATTAAGAAAAACACAAACGAAGCGTAATAGAGCACAAAAAGGACAACTTATGCAATTGCGGCCTAAAAAACAATAAAAGACTCAAAAAAACAATTATAAAACTAGCATAATTGTGCCTATAAACTCTATATAAATGTGATTTATCAGCATACAATAGAATTAAGTGGGACTTCCTTGAAAAAATATGAATTAAAGTGGGGCTGCCTGAGTTGATGATCAAAACTATCATGAACTGCGTAACTACTGTCTCCTTTATAGTTTTAATTAATGGAAATAAGCAGGAAGCTTTCACTCCAAAGTGTGGTCGTATACAGGAGGATCCCTTGTCTCCTTACCTATTTATTCTATGTATGGAAGGGCTTATGGGGTTAATTCAAGAAGAGGAGAGGAAAGGAAACATCACAGGGGTGTGAGTTTCTTAAAGAGCCCTAAAGATCACACATTTGTTATTCGCAGATGATTCAGCCTTTTTTATACAGGGGAACGAGAAATGTGTTAAGGCCTTGGGTGATGTTTTAAATACTTACTGCAGAGCTTCTAGTCAAGTTATCAATGAGGACAAATCTATTCTTTTATACAACCCTAACATCAACACTGATGATAAGGATAAATTCAGTAATTTACTCAGGGTTAGAGTGAGTGATAAATTTGGAGTCTACTTTGGTATTCCTGCAAATTTTGGTTCCTCAAAAAAAAGAAATCTTTGGAAGTGTTGTGGATAGAGTTAATGAGCGGCTTAATGCGGGGAACTCTCTCTTCCTTTCATCTGCAGGAAGATTAACTTTGATAAACTCAGTGCTTTCAAATTTAGGTACCTACATTTTCTCAGTTTTCAAGTGCCCTTTTAATTTATTAAAATATATTAACAGCATTGTTGCTAAATTTTGATGGGTGGGCAATAGAAGTAGGAAGGGTGTTTATTAGAAAAATTGGAGGATTCTAACCATGCCAAAAGAGTTAAGAGGTTTAGGAATCAAGCATGCTCGGGTTGTCAACCAAGCCTTATTGGCTAAGCAGGGATGGCGTATTCTAAACGATAAAGATTCCCTTTTAAGTAAGGTGTTTACTGCAAAACATGGAATAAGTGATGACTCTTAGTTTGATGAATCCTGGAATAGAAAGGCTGGAACTCGGGGTTGGGATGTCATAGAATAGGGATTACAAGTTCTTTATAAAGGTTGCTTTTGGCAAAACTAAAATTCACCATCCTTGGATCAACTGATAATCGCCTTCCTAGAATTCTGAGGAGCTCTTCTCCAATGATAGAGTATGCACTATCTGTCATAAGAGAATAGGGAGAGTGGGATGTTAACCTGACTTGTGCAACCACTGTTTTGCGGAAGAAACAACTGCTAACATAGATTAGATAACACCCATGGAGAAAGGTTTCGATGATGTGCTAGTATGAAAAGGGGAGAAAAATGCTAATTATACGGTGAGGAGTGGTTATGCTACGATTTTAGGAAGCAGAAGTAACGGAAATGTGATCGAAAATCAAATTTGGAGCAACCTAAACAAAAACCGAATTTGGAGGAAGTTCTGGAAATAGGATAACTCACCAAGGCAAAAAATTTTGTTATGGAAAATTTTCAATAATGCCTTACCTAAAGGAAGTGAAAGATTGAAAAGGGACCTAGGAGAGGATCATAACTGTCAATTATGTAAATCTAAGGATAGCTCACAGGGGGGAAATTGGAAACCTTAAATCACATTTTCCGAGATTGTGAGTTTGCAAGTCTCATCTGGAGGAGCAGTAAACTAGGAATTAATGTTGATAATCACGAGAATATTCCAATTGCAGATTGGATTATCAATTAACAAAACTTTCTATGTAGCAAAATTAAGGAAATTAGCAAAATACAACCACTTTTCATGGGTATTTTAGAAGGAATCTGGGAAGCAAGAAATAAGCAAATTTTCCAAAATTCAGACCCAAATCCTTATAGCACACTAAAGAAATTAGAGTACCTAGCTAGCAAATTACAATACGGCCCAATATATCACCAAGATCGCGAAATTTGCACTGACTTGGAGCAAGAGGTACCACCGGGTTTTGAATATCTACATCAAATAAATAAAGAACGCGTAAATGGAGGGAAATATGCTCTTATAACAGGGATGGGTGAGTGTACATGAAAGTGCTGAAATCCAAACAAAAATTACCAAGTCAAGGGATGGACGGAAGCTTGGGCGGTGGTTTCTCAAAAATTGCAGGGGAGATCGCCATGGAAGACGAAGTCAGCCTCAACAATGGAAAAAAAAAGAAGCTGACGAACTGATGGTGCTGCTGAACAGCATTGAGTATGCCTCATCCTCGAAGATCCTGCACATTAAGATACAGGTCAAGAACCATGTTATTGTGAGATGGCTTAGGGAGAGATGACAAGATCTAACAAAGCAAGGATGATAATTATTAGGATTAGCAAGTTGCTTTTAAGTTTTCATTGTGTTACTTTAGTTTGGAACAGTGCTGGGAATTAATTTTCTTTTGTTTGCTGTAAAAAAAAAATTCCTTTGTTTCTAACTCAAATTCAATTCCGAAAAGTGCATATCGATCCTTGTAGATGCTATATTCATTTCCCATGCATAATATCATTAGAGACAACATCCATGAGTATAAATCCCTCCCTTAATGAACTAGATCCATCGATTTCCATTCAAATATCATCTAAATTATCTCCAAACACTTCAAAAGCGTCCAAATGACTATGAAATCACCTGAAACATTAAGAAAAACACAAATGGAGCATAATAGAGTGATAAATGATGACTTATGCAAATATGACCCTAAAATTGACAAAAAAGACTAAGAAAAAGGTATAAAAACTAACATAAACGTGCCTAAGAACCCTATATAAATATGATTTATCTGTAACAGAGGTGTAACATGTCTATCAAAATGAGGAAATAGAGAACTGGTGAAAAATTTTATATACACTCGGGTGCAAAGTGACTTTAGATTATTTTAGGTTATTTTGTGGTCATTTGATGAATACATGAGCAATAATTATCAAAATATGTGAAATATACCCTGAGTGCACCTTGCACCCAATTGTGTTGTACATAACAAACTTTAGGGAAATAGTGAACCCTAAAGTAGAATTTATAGAAACCATCAATTTAATTTAAGAAAATTTTGACATTTGCTACCAGCAAAAACACCTCAATTCAAATTTGCTACTGTTTTTTTAAAAATTAATTTACTTTGCTACTACCTAAATCAGACTTTGTTAAAATTAACTACCACATGACTAATTCTATTATTGTAGCCGTTAGTGGGGTCCACTCTAACAACTACTTAACTAATTTCCCCCATTTAAACTCATTTCTTCATTCTTTGATCTGAATCTTTGCTCACCATAATTTTTCTCAGCAAAATTTTATCAAACAAAAACACACTTTCATTCAAGAAAACTAGTGTGAATTCGTTGAGTGTGGTAATTGGATTTTCTGGGTTGATTTGCGAAAGGAATTTTTAGCAGAAAAAGGGTAAGTTGTTTGTTCAATTGGAACAAATTTGCAACGTAATGTTCAATTAACTTAGCAATTAGTAATGTAATTAGTGTATAGGAATGATGTATTGGCTATAATCTAACTTAAATAGGAGTAATTTATAGTTAAATCCAAGAACATAATTTAAGGTTCTTGAGGTAAATTGAAATTGGGGGTTTTTCTTTAGGTGGGATAATCATTAAATTGAGACTGTTGATTTGTTATAATATTATTAATTGTTAAAATCATTCATTAATAAGGTCCATACGTAGGGAATTAAGTCTTTGATTAGCTGTTCACCCTCTAAAAGCAAGAAATGTGAGTGTGGCATTCCCATGGCAAGGCTCACCTCATGGACAAGAGAGAATCCTTCCATAAAGTTCTTGACTAGCAAGTTTTTTTTACCCCAAAACAGAAACCAAGGGTTGTAGTGTTTTGAGTGGGTGGACGAAGAAGATGGGACTAATTGGAAAAAGGAGTGATCAATCAACTGCTATTGGACAAAAAACTCATGAAGTGTGAGATCAGCTTACTGCAAAGAGAAGTTAAAGACCTTACTGGACAAAGAAGGTGCTTGTTACTGAGAATGACAATCTGAAAGTGAAGGAAAATCTCTAAGTGCAGACATGAAGAGATACAATAGGGAAGGAAAACAAATTAGTGTTGGGGTTGGGTTTGTTGTGATTACTGCCACATTTTGTGTTCTGTTGATTGTTTGGGGTTGGGTTTATTGTGATTATCGCCACATGTTGTGTTGTGATGATGGTAGGAATGTTAGTTATGCTTAAATAAGTTAATTATGTTAGTACAACTTACATAAGTGTAGGGTAGTTACTGTTAGTGTGCTCAAATAAGTTGGATGTATGAACTTGTAAGAATTTCAAATATGAATGAAAAATTCATATATATGAGCCTTTATGAGACAATAAAAAAATTTGATACCCATTGCAATGTTAATTGTAGCCTTACAAAAACTACTTGAATTCAAATACTCTTAAAGTTCAAAATCAATCAACAAAAAGCTTAAATGGGTAGAAACTGTCACTAAAACAGATCAGTCAAACTACCTTTTTTGCCTTTTGCCTGCTTCTTTGGATGAATTGTTGTTGTAGTAGATGCTTAAGACTGTTGGTTGCACCCATTGGGAACCTTAATCTTGATGTTGTTGCTGTTGTTCTAGAGGGAAAGACCTATTACCTATACTCCAAGGTCCAGCACCAGTTACAGTCTGTGTGAATAAAAAAAAAAAACTATCAGCATCTACCAAACACATATAGACCTTGAAAAAGGGTCATTTGGGTTGGGAATGGTTTGGGTCATTTCGGTTCGGGTCGGGTTAAGTTCGGGTCAAAAAGTTATCGGGTCAAGTTTGGGTCGGGTCGGGTCATTTCGGGTTTTGAATTGATTTTGGGTCAACTGATAATCGGGTCGGGTTGCGGGTTAACATTTTGGGTTGAGTTTGGGTCAGGTCAAGTTTATGTCGGGTCAGTTTGGGTCGGGCCAATCTTCGGGTCCAATTTTCAGGTCAACTTCGGGTCGGGTCATATTTAGGTCGATGCATTGGGTTAAATTCAACTATATATATATATTTTTAAAATATTTTTTGATGAGAAAATCACGATATTTAATAAGGCTACTTTTTTCATGGAATACAATAAATGTTTGACTTTAGATTATTTTGTAATTTCATTTGGTATTGAACATTATGTTTGGTACGCACTATTATTGTACTTATTTTTTTTCTAGACTTGTGAGAATTGTGTCTTTTATTCCGGGCTGTAGTAAATTTTTTAGATCTTATGTACAAACTCCGTAGAATAGTCGTTATATTTCAATCTTTTTACGATTTTTTAATAACTTATAAAGATAAAAGGTCGAAAAAATCGCGAAAAATATTGTTCAAAATATGTAAATTACTTACACTGTTACACATTACAAGTTAATAAAAAAATTAAGTCGGTTTCATTGTGGTTTTTTTATATTTCGATTTGCTCTGGTAAAATCTTTAGCTTAAATAGATTCTTGTTATTTAAGGTATAAGATAATTTTGGTTCGGTTCACTTTGGGTTTCAATTCTATTTGGGTCAATTAATTCAAGTTAAAGGTCGGGTCACTTTAGGTATCGGGTCACTTTGGGTCAGGTCATTTCGGGTCTTAGGTCAACTTCGGGTCGGGTCATCTCGGGTCGGGATGTTTTCGGTCGGGTTATTTTGGGTTTAGGGTTAAGGTCGGGTCCATTCCACTTTGGGTTGGGTATGGATCAGGTCGGGTTGATTCGAGTTTTGGGTCGATTTCGGGTCATTGTTTTCAGGTCTATTTCGGGTCATGGGTCGGGTCAGGTCATTGGGTCAGATTCAGAACTGCCAAGTCTAAAAACATATAGAACACTCAAATAAATAAGGAAAAAACTAAGGCTTACATTTCTCAAAGCCCTTCTACCTTTTTTCTCCTTTGTTCCTACAACTATAGAGTGTTAAGGACATGTTTGATTGAACTTTTTGGCTTTGAATTTAGTGGTGCTTTCATGGGCTCATTTCCACAAGTCTTAGCATAATGATTAAGTTGTCAACACTTCTTGCACCTTTTCTACAGCTTTTTTGTTTAGGTTGGAGTCCTTGTTGTCCTATGCTCTCTCTCCCTTTTCCAGCTTCCTCTTCTTTGATTTAGGCCTTCCTGGCATAACCCTTACTGGAGATGGTAGTGGTTGCCCAAGGTCTATCATCTCCCAATGCTTTGGGCCTGGCATAGGCTTTATATCATCCTCATAGGCTAGCATATATGTTGCCCTACTATAATACCCATCCACATAGCACTAGTAGAAAATACTAAATGGCAAGCAGTTCAAACCCCCTAATGGGAAGCAGTTTGAACCGCATGCGCTTAGGGGGCTAGCCATTGGCCTTTCAAATGGAAAGCGATTCAAAACTGCTTGCCATTTTTAGTGGTAGGGCTAAAACTGCCAAACCGCTGCCCATTATGGCTATAAAAAATAAAAAATAAATATTTTTTATTATTTCACTTAAATTGATACACAAAAAAAAAAACAAACATTATTATTTCATTGATTAATTGTTGTAATATTACATTTTCATCAAAAAATAATTAAAAAAAAAGTTATAACCAGCCCTTCTCCAACATACACCACACCTACCAATCCAACTACCACCACAACAATCACCTCAATCAACCACCACCAATTGCAGCGGCAGTCGCAACATCAACAAAACAAAGCAGCATAAATTTTTTTTTTAAAATAAACCACGCATCATCAGCCATTTGGGGCTTGAAACTCTAGAATTGACGCCACCATCATAATCTAAAGCCAACGCCGCACCTGAAACATATTTTAAAAAAAATTTAAAAAAAAAGAAAAAGCTCAAAAAATTTACTAAATTATTGAAGCGGAATTGAAATTTGAAATAAATAAAATTGAAATTGAAGCAGAATTGTAATTTGAAATAAATAAAATTTACTCAAAAAATAAACTAATCGTTCAAAAATGCATATAGAAGTTGAAATTTTAAATAAATAAAACTAGATCTAAATCCTTACCTAAATTAATATTAGGTTTGAAAATGGTGGTGGTGATTTGTGGTTGTAGCGTCGGTAGTATATATTGTTGTTGGTGGTTGTCGCATGGGTGGGTTGCTCGGTTGTTGTTGCTCGGTGGGTTTCTTAGTTGTTATTGCTCGGTGGGTTGCTCGATGGTCGGTGGGTTGCTTGATGGTTGGTGGGTTGTTATTGTGGGTTGAAAACGTGAGGTCGTGAGAATGGAGATGAGAGATGAAAGAGAAGGAGATGAGAGAAGAAAGAGAAGGAGATGGAGAAAGGAAAGAGGACGTGAGAATGGAGGGGATAGAGGAGAGTGAAGTGAGGCGTGAGAATGGAGGGGAGGATAGAGATCGTGAGAAATAAGGGGGAAGGGGAGGAGAGATAGTGTGAGAAATAGATGGGATTTTCATTTTTTGGGGGGTTTTTTTAACAAATGGCAAGCAGTTCAAGGTTCAAATCGCTTGCCATTTACAATTTTGCAAGCGATTCACCTAATACCGCTTGCCATTTGCTTGTTTCAGTTTTTTTAGGTGTTTTTGGAAGCGGAATTCAATAACCGCTTGCCATTTAGGGCTGCCTATTTACTTTTTTCTACCAGTGTAGTCATCAGGGTCCACCCTATTTTCTAGACTACATGCAAATGCATGTACACATGGAAACCAAGTCAACTCCTAATGGTAGCAGGAGCATGTACTCAAGCTTAGGTCTGCCTAAACTTGATTCCCATTCAACTCAACCTCATACTAATCCCCCCTTGAAACCTGTACTATG